ACTAACTTTGTGTCTCCTCTCTCCTGTAGTGTGTCCTCTCTCTCTCCCTGTACCTTTCTGCAGGTTGCCCTGGCCCTGGAGCTCTATGTTTCTGACGAGCAGTCACCAGCCACATCGACCTGATCAGTGTTTGATTGTTGTGTCTTGTTGCTTTTCTTCTTTTGTCTCTCCTCTATCCACTCACCCCAACCGGTCGAGGCAGAAGGCCGCCCACCAAGAGCCGGGGTCTGTCGGAGGTTTCTTCCGTTAAAGGGAGTTTTTCCTCCCCACTGTCGCCAAGTGCTTGCTCAAGGGGGGTTTGTTGGGTTTTCCCTATGTAATAATATTGATAACAGTAAGGTCTAGACCTTACTTTGTAAAGTGTCCTGAGATGACTTTTGTTGTGATTTGGCGCTATACAAATAAAATTTGATTTCATTTGATTTGATTTGTGTATTGTGGATTCACCAGTGTAGAGAGTGTTTCCTGTGTGTTGCTGGCTCTGTTTCTGAAGACTTCAACCTTTGTTGTGATATTATCGTTTCCCGGAATGTGCCGCATTGTGCTTGGGATTCCTGAGATGTCTCACTATCTTAGCCAATAATTCATAAAGAAAAAAGGTTTTGTTATTATTTTATAGTTGTAAGATCTGGTGGTAGATTCCTCCTCCTAAAGGTGCACTACTTATGTGGACCAGTGGGTAGTGTTACAACAGAGAACCCGGTCTATAATTTGTGAAGTTGTGCTTATCACCAGATTTATACAGTGGAATAACCTTTGCTATTTTCATATTATTGGGGAACTGCCCAAGTCGAAACGACATGTTAAAAATATGGGTTAATGGTTTGCATATCTCCTCAATTACCCATTTAACAGTTGTCATAGTGATACCATCACTATCACTAGATGTTTTGTTACCACATTTATTCACTATCTCTATAATTTCCTTTTCAACTATGGGCTTCAAGAACAAATATTGGGGGTAGTTACTCTTGCTGGGACTATTTCTAATCAAATTATTTAATATATTCCAAGTACCTCTCATGTTATTTTTATTATCCTCTAATACTTTAGAATAATATTGTTTCTTACATCTCCTCAAAATCTCAATTGATTTGTTCTTATACGACTTAGATTTTTCTTCCGTCTTTTTTGATCTGTCCTTTATGAAATCCTTATATAACGCATTCTTCTTTTTACATGCTCCCCACGATGGTTAGAGCCATCGGTTCAGTTGACGCTGCAGATGGCTGCCTCGGCTCTGTACCGGAAATAAATTCCATGTGTGTAACATACTTGGCCAGATAAAGGTTGTTATTATTCATAAAGGTGATTCATTTTTCACTTGTAGCCGGGTGTATACTAAAGGAAAATAAATAACTAAATAGTTTTCCAGTTATGGTGAAAGGTCCCCTAAAGTTTATTAAATTTCAGATTTTCATGCAGTGTTCATGGTTTTCCTGTCAATGTAATATGAACGTAACTTGCAGTGGGCTGTTGGAGTATATTATTGTCACCTTAGAACCTTGGCCACTAGTTGGCAGTGCTGAGTAGGATGTGTAAATTCCGCCAAAACTTTGCCAAGTGCATTGTGGTCTTTCTTTCTTTGGACTGAGCTGAAGGAGGAGCGCAATGGCTTCTGTAAGTAAATATGCGCAAATCTTGTCAGATTATATATCTATTCATACTTTTAAGGGTGTATTGTAGGAGCCGATGGTGCTGGTGTCTTTTGGTACAGACTCTCGTGCCCGGGACGTTAACAAGGCAGCGGCGTGCTAATTGTGCTCTTCGCGGGGAGAGCGGCCAAGATGGCGATCGTACAACACCTCTGTCAGGACGTCTCGAAGAAATGCAACTCCAAAGTATGTTTTTGGTTCTTTAATCTCGTTACAAACCTAATTAAGTCTTCTCTTTACACTCTTGATTGGCGCGGTCGTGTGTGTGCAAGACAGCGAACACGCCTAACTTGACCGGGCTAACTTTTTTTAGTCAGCAGGCTAACCACGATTTTGCAAGCTAGCGGTTTTTGAAGAAGAAATGGGCGTTTTTAACCCTTCTCCCCTATTCCTGCAAAAATGTCAATTTTTGCCTGAACCTTTTTTTTGATTTGGCGAACATTTTGGCTGTGTTGCAGCTTGTGGCAGAAATTTGGCAGGAAAGTTTCTTTTTACTTATATTTTTGAAATCCAGTTTCACTTACTCTTAAATGTCATTTATACTCTTTTTTTTTTTAAATGCATTTTGTACCCACTTTTCACATTCGTGCCAAAAATGTACACATAGAAAATATGAATAATAATTAATTAACATCAATATTTTTTCTGCTTTTTTTTTCATAAATCTCTTAAACAACTTCAGACTTGCTCAAAACTACCAAACATTCAATCATTCTCAGAATTTTAACCCTTTAAATGCCAATTTATGATTTGAATTATGACATATATTTCATAAATTCACAATAAAACGAATTATTTTCCATATAATAAATAGGAGGATGGAGTTTTGGTGGTGAGTAGAGTCTTGTATATGTCAAAGATGAGCAACAAAATGGATTTGATTGCATTAGTATTTTTATGTAGTGCCAGACACTCCCTCCTGACATATTTGTGGCCAAAAATGCCCCATTGAAACATTTTTTTAATCTCACTGCCATTTCAGTATAAAACCATGCATTGTGTTATATCAGCATTTCATTTTGAAGAAAAGTAGTGATATTTGATATTTTTACCATATTTCACCATATTCGACCTTTTCCTGTTGTAGGCCGATGCATGAAATTTGTGTATTTTTGCCATATTATGGAGCTGTGTGACTACCAGGGGGTCCCAAGAGTTTTGTGTGTGTGTGTGTGTGTGTGAAACAGAAATATCCAGGCTGCGAATATTTGATGTATGTGTGTGTGTGATAAACGGATTGAGAGAGGATGTGTCTGTGTGTGTTTAGTTTAGCTCATTTCCATCAGCAGACCAGCAGGTCCTGCACCATGTGACCTGGTGCTCTCTACAAATACACCTGTTACACTTGGTGCAGGTGGTAGAGGACCTCTTTTTTAGGCCTGTGCATAACCAGCACGCACAACCCATTTTGGGTGAGCTGGTGGCAGCAGTCAGTGGTTTCTGCAGGGCAGGAACAGTGGTCTGTAACTCCACCACCATGGCAGCAGCAGCTGCTGTACGCGGGGGAAAAAGTACAGCACCATATGCCATAAAATGTGTTTGATTATATCACTTTCAACAGGAGCCTGCCGAGAAATGACTTGGTCTGCTTTATTTATATCAGAAAGTGAGCTAGCCCTTGTAAGCAGCATGCTTATTTCACAGTGTGCTCAGAGGACTTATGGCTGATAATGTGTCACTTCAGCAAGCAACATTTTTGAAGATTATTTGTGGTGGGTTTTATTGTCATTTATTGTAGTTTGGCTTTTTATGGTGTGTATCAAACCTGCACTGGTGAATATCAAGAGTTGTAGGCTTCTGCTTAATTGGTAGTGCCTCCATTTTGTTGTATAAGTTCCAAAAACACAATTCAAGTGCAGTGTTATGTGAAGTTGAAAATAAAATGGAACTGTGATGTAATGTTTGTTTTTGTTTTTACTGTTTATTACTTTTATAGGAGTATTTTCCTGTTTGACCTACACCACAATTTCATATATTTTTTATTTACAGTCAGGGAAAAAATTATTTGAACCCCAGCTGATTTTGTAAGTTTGCCCACTAACAAGGAAATGATCAGTCTACAATGTCAACGGTAGGTTTATGTGAACAGTGAGAGACACAACAACAACAAAAAAATCCAGAAAAATGCATTACAAAAATTATAAAGTAATTTGCATTTTCATGAATGAAATAAGTATTTGATCCCCTATCACTCAGCAAGATCTCTGACTCCTAGGTGTATTTTATACAGGTAACGAGCTGACATTGGGAGCCCTCTCAGCTTGTTACCTGTATAAAAGAGACCTGTCCACAGAAGCAATCAATCAATCCAGATTCCAAACTCTTCGCCATGGCCAAGTCCAAAGAGCTTTCCAAGGATGTCAGGGACAAGACTGTGGACCTACCCAAGGCTGGAATGGGCTACAAGGCCATCGCCAAGCAGCTGGGTGAGAAGGTGACAACAGTTGGTGCAATTATTTGCAAATGGAAGAAACATAAATTAACTACCAATCTCCCTCGGTCTGGAGCTCCATGCAAGATCTCACCTCGTGGAGTTTCGATGATAATGAGAACGGTGAGGAATCAGCCCAGAACTACTCGGGAGGAACTTGTCAATGATCTCAAGGCAGCTGGGACCATAGTCACCAAACAGTTGGTAGCACACTACACCGTGAAGGACTGAAATCCTGCTTTGTCCGCAAGGTCCCGCTGCTCAAGAAAGCACATCTACAGGCCCATTTGAAGTTTGCCACTGAACATCTGACTCTTTCAGAGGAAGACTGGGCATCAACTCAACTCGCCGGGTTTGGAGGAGAAGGAATGCTGCCTATGACTCCAAAAACACCGTCCCCAATGTCAAATATGGAGGTGGAAACATTATGCTTTGGGGGTGTTTTTCTGCCAAGGGGACAGGACAATTGCACCGCATCAAAGGGAGGATGGATGGGGCCATGTACCGTCAAATCTTGGGTGAGAACCTCCTTCCCTCAGTCAGGGCATTGAAGATGGGTCGTGGTTGGGTATTCCAGCATGACAATGATCCAAAACACACGGCCAAGCCAACAATGGATTGGCTCAAGAAGAAGCATATTAAGGTCATGGAGTGGCCTAGTCAGTCTCCAGACCTTAATCCCATAGAAAATCTGTGGAGGGAGCTGAAGGTTCGAGTTGCCAAACATCAGCCACGAAACATTAATGACTTGGAGAGGATCTGCAAAGAGGAGTGGGTCAAAATCCCCCCTGAGATGTGTGCAAACCTTGAGGCCAACTACAAGAAATGTCTGACCTCTGTGATTGCCATCACTGTTCACATAAACCTACCATTGAAATTGTAGACTGATCATTTCTTTGTTAGTGGGCAAACTTACAAAATCAGTTGGGGTTCAAATAATTTTTTCCCCTGACTAAATATAAATATAGAATATGCTTATTCTTCCAGTAGCAGCTAATCAACACATAATTTACTGCTTTTTACATTGGGAGATAATGAATATTGAGCAGAATTAAGTTCAAGTTATCGTTGGTTCCGCCCTCCAACACAGTTCAGGTTTCTCATGTGGCCCCTTGTAAAAAATGAATCGCCCACCCCTGCTAAAGGCCGATTACATCTGTGTTTTCTCTGACAGATTGACATCGGGCAGATGGTGGGAGACAGTCAGGTGATTTTTGAGAAGGCAGAGAATTCTTCCCTCACACCAGTCGGTATGTTCCTTCTTCCTACAGGTGGCTGATATTTGCCAACTGATCTCAGGATCTAGATTTGAAGCACTAAATGGCTAAGTGGTTGTCTCCTGTATTTAAAAGGTAAGGCAAAGACAAAACACCAACAGACAATCATCAACCCACACTGGAAACTTTGAGAAGATGGGGATTGGAGGTCTGGACAAGGAGTTTTCTGACATATTCCGCAGAGCATTTGCATCCCGAGTCTTTCCTGCAGATGTTGTGGAACAAATGGGTGAGATTTAAAATTCTGATGACAAATATTCAGTGTAGGTACTTTCATGTTAAATGTTTGAGCTTGTATTTTATCAGTTAAACATTGTTTGGATTACTTGACCTTGCAAGTAATTTTGTGTACTGTGTATTCAAGGTGGTAGCAAAATGTAATGGAAGCAAACAGGGTTGGTCACACTAACTAGCTCATATAATAAACAATAGCTCAGACAATAAACAAAAATGTTTCAGTGACTTTTATCATTTATTTTATTAAACTGGTTTCTCTTCCCTCAGGCTCTGAGCATATAAAACTTTTTCTAATTCTTCTTGCACTCTTCATTTTCTATATTATTTTTCCTCTTCCATTTATTCCTTCCTTCTGTCTACCTGTCTCTCAGCTTTCCTTGTGGCCAGGGTGTAAGCATGTGAAGGGCATCTTGCTGTTTGGACCTCCAGGTTGTGGTAAAACACTGATGGCCAGGCAGATTGGCAAAATGCTCAACGCCCGCGAGCCAAAGGTTGTCAACGGCCCCGAGATCCTCAACAAATACAGGGGAGAATCTGAGGCCAACATCCGCAAACTCTTTGCCAAGGCAGAGGAGGAGCAGAAGAGGGTGAGAAAAGCTGATTGGAGTTTTCTTTGTGCTCAGTTTGAAAAACCAAACAGAATTTATAAACATAAAACTTGACCTGTCTAAAGCTGGGAGCCAACAGCGGCCTCCACATTATCATCTTTGATGAGCTAGACGCCATCTGCAAGCGGAGAGGCACGGCTGCCAGCAGCACAGGCGTGCACGACACCGTGGTCAACCAGCTTCTGTCAAAGATTGACGGTGTGGAGCAACTGAACAACATCCTGGTCATCGGTAAATAGCATTAGAGGAACCTATACGATACATGATCCTGAATGGAGAACAGAGAGCTGTTTCACACACGTTTCACTTGTCAAATTAAATATAATACTTGCAACCCATTAGAGCAGATGGTCAATGTGGAAAGGCAGACCATCTGTGCACATGACTGATAAGAACGGTCTGAGCCACTCCTGTGAGAAAACTGGGGAAAGCAGCATATTCCCACAAATCACTTTGAAGAATCAGTTTAGGTCCAAATTCCTGTCATTATGGTTCCTTTTTTAGTTTTCAACTTTTATTTGCGAATATATTCAGCATGTGGAATTAGTTCAGTGGCCACTGAGTTGGCACAGGGGTCTCCTACCTAAACCAACACAAGTGAGCAAACTTTATTCTCTAATGAAGGCTGGGAGTTGTGGTTAAAAGCTCTGAATAAAAGTTGGTAAGTGGACCTTGAGTCGAGATTGTTTTGTAAACTGCTTTTACATTATAAAAAAATACTAAAGTTCTTTCTCCTTGTATACGGATATTTGTGATGTTTAAAATTTGAAGATACATAGGCAAACTCCAACAACTATAAATTATGTTGCTGTTTGTTTAAACCCCCCAAAAATGCCCTAGACACATGTAGAGCCACTGTCATGCATGCCACAGTCATTAAAACAGATTGAACTGAGTTTATTTTCACAGTCTTTTGTTTTTGTAGGTATGAACACAGAGTTTAAAAGTAGGGCAGAGACAGTTAGGGAAGTATTAACTTTGTTTACCGTTGAATGTTTACATTCCTTTCCAGGCTACATCTACAGCTGAAGTAGACATGGAGTGGGCAGAGAAGCTGCAGGTCACCAGAGCTGACTATATGGGATCTCTCAGCAATGACATAAAACCTGTGTATACCAGTCCTCTTTGGAGTTTATGTTTAGAATCATAGAATACAGGATAAGCCTGTAATATGAAGTGACAGAACCTGGTCCTTGACACCACCTCATGTTTTTTCCAGGCATTTGGTACAAACAAAGAGGATTACTCCAGCTACACCATGAACGGCATCATCAAATGGGGTGACCCGGTCACCTATGTTCTGGATGTTGGAAAGCTGCTGGTACAGCAGACTAAGAACAGTGATGTCATGCCACTGGTGTCTGTGTTATTGGAGGGTAAGAAGTCAGCAACACACACACATACAATATGTACTGCTACTATTCAGTTCAAGAAAAGTTGTAAATGATCAGTCACTAAAATTAGCTTATTTGCATTTAATGACGCAAACAAAACCACAGCTTTCACCCTACTGAGTAACTATACACATACAAATACAATCACATCACCTCCCACAAAGACAACAACATCCTGAAGTTCGCGGACGACACCGCACTGATAGGTCGCATCACTGGCGGGGACAAAACAGCCTACAGGAGGGAGGTGGCTGGTCTGGTGTCATGGTGCAAGGACAATAATCTCAGCCTCAACACGGACAAGATGGAGGAGATGATAGTGGACATGAGGAAGCAGAGGAGAACTCGTCAGCCACTGTTCATCCGGGGGCTCGAGGTGGAGAGGGTGAGCAGCTTCAAATACCTGGGTGTCCACATCAGTGAGGACCTCACTTGGACACTTAACACCACACAGCTGGTCAAGAAGGCCCAACGGCGGCTGTACTTCCTGAGGAGGCTGAGGAGGTTTGGCATGTCGCCTAGGATCCTTTGCAACTTCTACAGCTGCATCACTGAGAGCATCTTGACCAGCTGCATCACTGTCTGGTATGGCAGCACTACTGCTATGGCCCGCAAGCGCCTGCAGAGAGTGGTAAAGACTGTGGAGAAGATCACCAGGACTCCACTGCCCTCTCTGCAGAGCATTTACTACCGCAGGGTGCGTAGGAAAGCTGCCTCCATCCTCAAAGATCCCACCCACCCCCAGCACAGACTGTTTGCCTCCCTACCCTCTGGCCAGAGGTTCAGAAGTGTGAAATGCAGGACCTCCAGACTGAAAAACTCTTTCTTTCCCTCTGCC